GAAGTTGCTTTTTGTCATTTAATGAGACGATTTTATTACAACATGAATGAATTGTACAGTGAGATGCAAAGGAGTTTGTGATTTATATATACAATGAAAATATTTAAATTTAATAACTTGTTGTGTTGTATATAATATGGGAAATATTTAAATTTAATTAATTATCGTGGATTTTACAAAATAGCTATTTTAAATTTAAGTGTGCTTTTAATTGAGATTTTTAAAAAAATTTGAAGAATTTTTAAGACTTTGAAAATTATGGTATAAGTTCTCAAGACTTACAAAAGTCTTGAGATATTCATTTGGTATTCATCCCGATGTATTTAATTATTTGAGATTAAGATTTGTTAAAACTTTTTAAGATTTGTTGGAATTTCTAAAGAAATAAACATGTACTAAAACTCATTACAAATCTCACATCCAAACTTAAAATATCACAAGATTCCTCTAATTTAAAATTTTCAAATCTCGAATAGCCTTTAAATGTCACTCAAAATTCTAAACGAATACACCTACTTGTCGTGGATTTTACAAAAGCTACTTGCTAAAGAAGTATGAATATCTAGTTGCCACTTAAAATTGGTAAATTTTACTAAATGTAGTTAGGACTATATTGTCGAAAAATTTTACTAAAATAAAAAACAACTTTAGTTACTAAAAATTAAAGTATCATAAATTAGTGAGAATAAATAAATAAAATATTGTGAGTAAATCAATTTTTTGATAATAAAAAAAAAAATTATTTTCGAAATTCAAAGGTACTAAAGATAATAAGGAAAAAAGAGAAATGTAACGGCTAAACACTAAATGAGGTTTTGACCAATATTAACATAGCAACACATTAATACAAATCAAACATGTTTTTATAATAAAATAATAAAAAAAAATAAAATTGAAAAGTAACGGTTTTTGGCGGGAAAATGCCACGTAGGTATAATTTAATAGGTTTTATTAAATACTTATGAGCCAGTAATTATATATATATAGATTATATTAGAGTTTATACATGAGAATTAAACCAAAAAAGTTTAATTAAGAACTGATTAGAGTTTCGGCATAACTAAGATAAATTTGAGCACAATTACAAGTTCTACAAGTGAGTGATCATGCATATAACGAAATTGGGTAGCTTAATTGGTTGGTAATTAAGAGGCAAATGAATGGCACTCGGAGTTTGATAAGAAATCTCAGCAGCTCATTAATTTATGTTCTTTTTCATTCAAGTATTTACATTTTATAAGAAGAGTTTTTGCATACGAATGTGACGATATGGGTTCTGCAAGTCTAGATTTCTTCAACTGGAAATAAATGAATATATCATGCAGTCAACCAATTATTGCTATGGTCTATTATGGTAACAAAAAATAGAATCAGATAAAATATTTAGATAACAAGGACCCGGACCCGGCACGAACCAACCGGGCCAAGTCGTCATTTTTTGAAAAATGAAATATAGAATATTATTAAAAAATTAAAAAAAAAAAAGTGGGCGAGGGTCATGAAATGAATGACCCTGAAATGGCCCGTCGGAAATATGGTCCGGTTTCGGACCCGTGGATAACGGGTTTGACTGGGCTGTGCGGCCTGTGGTTATGTCTAGTTTCAAATAAATTTTTCTCTGGTTATTTTAATCACAAATTGTGCAAAATAGTAAAATTAGACAATTTTTTTCTTATTTTCTTATTTTCTTAATTTTTAATTAATGAGTTAATAATTGATAAAAGTATGTAACTTCCAAAAATGGCCTATTAACTTGATATATAGTCAAACCCAAGAGTGCTTGGATGAGATGGATTGGGTCTCTTCCACCTTAGCCAGTGGTCTCGTGTTCGAGCCCTGGGAATGCAGCAGTGTTAAAACTCTTGAGGGAAAGCTTTGTCGCCCTTGTGGTCCTACCCAGCTCGATTCCGGATTAATCGGTTCCCCTGTGGATCCAAAAATCGGACGGTCCCTGTAAAAAAAAAAAAAAGATATATAGTCAATTCTAGTCCAATAAGTCGGTATTTGTCTTAACAAATGGTGCGAAACTTCTCGTTTCAATAATCAAGTAACATTTTATTTTTATTTTCTGGTAATTCTTATAAAACTTCAATATATCGTCAGCTATTTTGTCAAATAATAATTATTATTATTATTCTTTTTTTTTTTGGGTATTTTTTATATCAAATAGTGAAAAAAAAAATCTTAATTTAACCTCACGATAGATCATTATCATTTCACACCATATTTCATCTCAAAAAATTAGAATGATTTAAAAAGTTTATTCATGAAACTTTTATTTTTTATAATATTCTCCCTATATATAATTCCCGAATGTGTTGAGCCTAAGTAACAGACTCGCATACTTCGGGATCCTAGGTATCAAAATTTCATGCTTTAGTATTTGGCTTGGATAAATTTTAATTTAATTCCAATCAAAAAATAATTAGGTTCAGATTATCATAAATATGTTGATTTATTTATGATCATTTTAGATGTATTAATTGTATTTTAATATTATTTCCTATTATAAATATTGAATTGTAAACGTGTTTTGAAAGTTGACAACTTTTGTATTTTTTATCGGTTTTACATATATAATATATCAAATTAATCATTTTTTATGAGTTTTCCATATTGTAGATATAATATAAATAAATTATATTTATGTTTATAATAATAAAGAAAATATTTATTAAAATTAATTATAAAAATAAAATTATTTCTCAATTAATATATTATTTATGTTTAATGTAGTTATATGTTATAAGTTAGAAAAATTATTATAATATACGGTTAAGTCGCACAAGTAACAAGTGTCATACTAAAATATATAATAACATATATTTTTTAAAAAAAAGTATTTAAATTTTCAACTATTTTTTTTATTAATTTTAAATTTTAAGAAAAAAAAAATTATCAAGCACACGTGTAATACATGTTTATTGTGTTTTTTGTCGTTATTTTCATGTGTTTTGTGTGCTTTATTATATAGTTTTAGGCTCGTTTTAGTGTCGACCGATCCATTTTATCGTGTTTTGTATATTTTTGTTATTTTATAGTGTTTTCGTATTTTTGCGCGTTTTCTCTTTTGTTTTGGTGTTGAATAGGTCCCAACTTGTCGAGAATGAGAAGACGAGCCATCCGAGCCTACCGAGCCGTGCAACCCGAAAAATCCAACCAAGCCATACCGGGACGAAGAGAATTCAATGAGGAGAATTTTGGTCCAAGTTTTGTGTGAATCGGAGTTGTGTACGAAAAATTAGAGCTAAACGAAGTCG